GGGGCGCCCGGTATTTTTGATAATAGCGGTCAGCTTATAGTAGAACTGTAAATGCCAGGTCCGTATGGCATACTGACCTGGCCAGCTGGAAGCACTTTTGTAGGTCCGTATGCCATACGTCCTTGGCAGCGAAAGGGTTAAACCCTTCATGACCGAGGCCTTTTTTCCATTTTGGCTAGAACCAGAAGTGTTAGCTGCCCTGTCACGTTTTTATTGCTGTCTGTGTGGACATTAGGGGGGAAAGTCACCCCCTCTACCAGTGAGGGGAATACAACATTTTCAGAGTGCTCCCCACAGCAGGAGCTCCATGTTTCAGAGAAACCAAAGAGGGGAAGTCCCCTCACTTTGGGAAATGTCCTCACTTCCTGTTGCATCTACGGCACACAAAATAAAAAGAAAAGCTCCCCCCAAGAACAGGGGCTTTACCCATTTCCCACTTCATTATATATGAAAACGTTCTGGCTTTGGATATCATTCACGTTTCTTCAGACAGAAGGTGGCCACTAACCCATAAGGTCATCAGTCCATGGGAATACCTGTGGGGTAGTCCCCTCCCCCACATTAATAGGTTGCCTACTATCAGCCATTGTTCCCTGCTGTATAAGCCAAACATATAATCCTGTAGTCTAGACCGGTGTTGACGGACTGTGACTAAACGACACATATGCATGGCTCAACAGCAAGCCCCTGTGCCCCACACCGTACTCATTGTGATAGAAGAGGATACCGGCCCGGTAAGCTGAGCCCGGCCTCCCTCATACTTCTGATTATGTGTGTTTGGACAGGCCGCTCACCCCAATCCGAGATGCAGCCCTCGCTTCAGTAGGGGGACTAGACTCCTCCCCCAAGTCCGGCCGCAGCGAGGGCGACTCCGTGCCTGTGTCCGGGCTCCAGTCAGCCGCCCGGGGACCGACCGCCTCGACCTCTATGGTTCTTCCGGACCGTACAACTCCAAAAGGAACTTTAGCAGGGCAACACAGAGCAGGCTCTGTCGGAGCCGAAATTACCGCTTTAAAGCCGGCTTCGTGGTTGCTAGGCAGAAAACCGCACCGGCGCCACGCTTCCGTGTATCTACTAGGTGACGGACAGGCGACTAGGCCAACCAGAGGAAACTGGGAGCACTCGAGGCCATGGAGCTAGCAGATGGAACACGGGAGAACAGTGTGGGCGGAGCTGTGTAAGCCTACATGGCGCCATCTCCGATTATGTTAGAACTTTCATGACTGAAACGTCTCATTGTGACGTCGCCAGACAGCACGCTCCACGCCTCGTCCGTTCTCTCCAGAGGGGATTCTTGCACCATGCGAGGGGCGGTGCCAGAACTGTCTTTATACATCCACCAATAAGAAAAATAGCAAGGATCGGCTGTAGCCAATCAAAACGAAGTCCGTGCCGCTGCCTCGCCTTTTCCCCGGTTAGTGGGCGGGAAGGGAATGGAGACAATCATAAGATAACGACTCTTCCCTCATCCGTGACGTCAGGCTGAAGTTGCATGTGATGTAGAGGGATTCTTAAAGTGGCAAACAGGGGATGTCCCATAATGCACCCCGTAGGTCCGTGACGTGATTAGGAGCATAATGAAAAAAGGCATAGTCCTAACAAACGGCCGTTATCGTCACGTAGACCTTAGATTCGGCTCCCAGTTGTAGTTTGTGTAGGAAAATATCTCTCTATGGAAGTCATTCCTAAATAGGGTAGAACGTATTAGGGAACTCCCAGGGCTTGTCCCTGACGTTCAGGCTTCGTTTACAGTATTCCTTAAAAGTGTTATGTAGGCAAATACTGTATGAAAACTGCAGCAGATATAAGATGGGTATACAAATCAATGAGACCTATTCGTGTCTCTGCGATGTAGTATGGTACAAAAAAAGATTTACTGCGTCAGTGAGCGTTTTAAGGCCTATAAAATTGAGGGCAAGGCTCATATCTATCCAGGCCCACTTCTGTCCATTTTTAGCGCATCTGTTTTTCACTTTGGGTTCACACACATTTTAAATTTGCTTTGCAGTGCGTTTTTTGATAGGTTAATGTGCGTTTTTATGGGGTTTGTTTTCTGGTTTGGCCAATGAGGATTGATTTCCTGCAGTGACATCATTGTCAAATTCCGCCCCAGCCACCTGTATAATATAAATACAGGGGCCCAAAAAAATGTATACAAATTTCAACAGTTGTGATTTTTAAAACACGTATTGAATGATGGCAGCAATGTGTAGTATTATGTTTCCTCTAAAGATATCAGCAGTCGCACCATTGTTGATATCATGTGACTGTCAGGAGAGAGTCAAAGAAAATGGCGGAGGAACGCTTAACTTTCGAGCAACACAAGACCATTTGGAAGTGGTATTGTAAATTTGAACGTGTGTGAAGGTCAACGACAATGGTGGCGTGAGTTTGGAACAGAACCACCTACATGACTAACTATCGTATGGATTCGTGATAAGTTCAAAACCAATGGTACTGTGTGTGATGTGCACAAGCAGAGATCTGGGAGGCGTCACACAGCAACAAGTCCTGCTTCCTCGGATACGGTGTTACAACAGTTTACACGCTCACCGCAAAAGTCTGTCAAACAATGTGCACGCAAGACAGGAATTAGCAGATCAAGCATACAACGTATTCTGAAGAGAGCACATTGGAAATTTTACATCACAAGACTGTTACACGCCATGATTGAAGATGACCCTGATCGGAGAATAGAGTACTGAGAGTGGTTTAGACAAATCAGCCATTCGTGCACTTTATGCAGATGAGCAATTTTACTTTCAGCAAGATGGCGCACCACCTCACTGTCACCAAGGCATAAGAGCCTATCTTGATGACATTCTGCTAAGACGTTGTATAGGACGCAGAGGTGCTGTTGAATTCCCTCCACGTTCCCCCGGACTTAACACCCCTCAATTTCTCTCTGTGGGGTACACTATAGAATGTAGTATACCGTAGAAAACCACCTACACTGGCTGCACTACGGGAAGAAATTTAAATATCATGCAGAGCAATCCCTGTGGACATTGTAGTCAATGTTGTTCATGCAGCAATGCGCCGAAATCAAGTGTCTGGATGCTAATGGTGACCACCTAATGTGATTGCATAATTCAAACACGACTTACAGCTGCACTTTGATGTTTATATAAATCTAGGGGGGAGAGAAAGTATTTCCTTGTAGTGACGGTGGGATTGGTCATACAGAAGGAGAAGGCTGTTAACTTGCATGGTGAGATCATCTGTATCATACAGAGATTCTGCATCAGCCATTGCTATACAATACAATCAAATGTATTATTATATTGTGTGTATATATTTATATATATTATAAAAGATGTATATAATATTTCCATGTGACAGTGGGATTGGTCATACAGAAGAATAAGGTTGTGAACCTCCCTGATGAGAGCTTCCGTATAATACAGAGATTCTGCTGCAGCCATCTTGCTTGGAGCATGTGTGAAGACATGGCAGGTGTCCAGAGAAGGAGCTTGTTACCAAGGATGGGCAGCGCATCAAAATGCACTATACATTGTAATAGACTTCTATGGGACTTACTGCACACACAAAAATACACAGAAAAAAAAGATGCCCCTTTTTCCAAAACACAGCTCAAAGATGTAAACAAGCTTATTTGTTAATGTGTTCCTTTGACACATTAATTGTTTTGTGAGTTGACGTGCCTGCTAAAATGCAGATGTTTGAATTGGGCCTAATAGTGCTGTAGTGCGTTCTATTATTTGTTGGTGGAGTGCATCATATAACAAGCTGAGATTTTGTTTCTTTTTGGGCAAGAACACAGAACGTAGTGTGGCAAATAATGATTTTATCCACTGCAGATTTTGTAAGCTTCGTCTGTAATTTTTATCATAGATGTATTTTAAATGATAGAGACAGAATATGAACCAAAAATCCAGAAAAAAACACATGCTACAAATGTTATAAATTGAGTTGCAGTTCAGTGAGTAAAATTAGTATTTGATCCCCTAACAACCAACAATAGTTCTGGCTCCCAAAGACTACCTATGTGGTACACATATTAGTCCTGTCAATTTAAGGTGCTCCTAACGACAACTCGTTATGTATATAAAAGACACCTGTCCACATAATCTCCTTCTTCCATTCAAACGTCACCACCAGGGGCAAGACAGAAGAGCTGTCAAAGGACGTTAGGGACAAAATTGTGGACTTGCACAAGGCTGGAATGGGCTACAAGACTATCAGCAAGAAGCTCAGTGAGAAGAAACAACTGTTGGAGCGATTATTCGCAAATGGAAGGAATACAAACTAACCATCGATTGCCCTCGGTCTGGAGCTCCATGCAAGATTTTGCCTCATGGTGTAAGGACGATCATGAGAAAAGTGAGGGATCAGCCCAGAACTACACGAGAAGAGCTTGTGAACGATCTCAAGGCAGTTGGGACCGCAGTCACCAATCAAACCATTGGTAACCCAATACACTGCCATGGATTGAAATCCAACAAGGCCCCCCTCCTCAAGAAGGCACATGTACAGGACACATGTAAGGCACATGTACTTTCAATCTGAAGTTTGCCAATGAACATCTAAATGATTCAGAGAAGGATTGGGAGAAAGTGCTGCGGTCAGATGAGACCAAAATCACAGTCAAGCACGGAGGTGAAAACATTATTCTTTGGGCCCGTTTCTCTGCTAAAGGTACAAGCTGACTCTGCCGCATTGAGGGGTTAATGGACAGGGCCATGTATTGTAAAATCTTGGATGAGAACCTCCTTCCCTCAGCCAGAACACTGAAGATGGGTCATGGATGGCTTGGTCAGCATGACAATGACCCAAAACATACCGCCAAGGCAACAAAGCAGTGGCTCAAGAAGAAGCACATTAAGGTAATGCAGTGGCCTAGCCAGTCTCCAGACCTTAATCCTATAGAACATTTTTGGAGGGAGCTGAAACTTTAAGTTGCCAAGCGACAGCCACGAAACCTTAAGGACTTAGAGAAGATCTGTAAAGGAGAGTGGACCAAAATCCCTCCTGAGATGTGTGCAAACTTGGTAACCAACTACAAGAAAGGATCTTACCTCTGTGCTTGCCAAAAGGGTTTCTCCACCAAGTACTAAGTCGTGTTTTGCTCGGGGATCAAATACTTATTTTACTCAATGAACTGCAACTCAATTTATAACATTTGTATCATGTGTTTTTTCTGGATTTTTGGTTGATATTTTGTCTCTATCATTTAAAATGCACCTATTATAATCAATGGAGCGGTCATTTCTTCATAAATGGGCAAACTTACAAAATGTGCAGGGGATCAAATAATTATTTGCCACACTGTATATGCAAAGAGACACACACAAGGTAAATTGTATGAATCCAGCCGCAAGATTTTAGGAAGATAGAGTAAACTCCCCGTTTTCTGGTATCCACGGGGATTGATAGATAAGTGTAGTTTCTGGTTGCTTGACAGTTACTATTAAAACTAATGCCATACCCCATACTGTAGCATACCATAACAGTATATTGTAATCTAAACCATTAGAAATACATTGCAGTACTGGGATTGATCCTTAGGTGGCACTTGTTCACAGGATAACAGAACTTTCACAAATGATCGATCAGAAACCCGTTTCCAGGATAACAGCACTTTTCAGAGATCGTTCAGACCCTCATTCCCAGGGTAATTCAACACTTTTCAGCCCGTTCCTATACCTTTCTATGCTCTAAAGCCCTCTCTCCCTCTTCTAAAAGGTGGCAGAACAGTGAGTACACAGGGGATATTTTATTTTTTGGAGGGTGAAAGAAATTGGATGTCAGTCACTTTAGAACCTTTACAGAGTTTACTAAACCAGCATAAACTCAAGAAGAGAAGGTAAGGGCACAGGATACCCAAAATAGCAACACAAACGCAGCTCCAGACTTCTTTGCCAGCAATAGTTAATACCGGCTATGGGCTGAGCTTAGGGGAAACCCAACGAATATAAAGACAACAATTCAATCTCCGGCTGACTATAGCCCAGCTACAACACTGAATTTGAACTAGGGGCACTCCAGCTTAATGCGGAGTCCCTCCACTAGGCACGAGCTTTACATCTTAGGACAACATCAGTTTCTCTCCCCCTTGGTGTAATCCACAAAGGAAAATACTTACCTCTGGCCCTGCTCTTTACTGTGTGGCCCTGCTCAGCACCGCACAGCCTTTGTGACACATTCCTTTGGCTGGTCTGTGCTCTTCAGACTATCAAAAGGAATTAATGTTGCTGTGTCAAGCTTGCGGAGTAGTCACAGGGCCCGGCCAAG